TCACATGTACGCTCTCAACCAATCATTTGATTGGGATCCGCTTCATCATCTTTCTTATAACAGCTGTTATCTTGTAGGCCTCATTCATATACTGTATCTACAAGTCAATTCATAGCATGAATCATCTTCATCGATATAACTGAAGGAAAACAGTCACAAGTTTATTACTCGTTCAAATGAAGCATTAAACATTACAATGTTTCTAATGTGACATGCACTGTGGCCATTTACCACATGATTTATAGGGCAGAGAACTAGAGAGCTCATGGAGTCTCGTTCAGCTGAAATGAAGTCATAAACCACAGTCATTTATTTTGACAATGTGTACATGAATGGCAACTGCTTGACTCGAAGGTCCTATGCGTATTTACGGAGTTCTTTGTCGTAAGAAACAGAAATGTGAAGCATGTTACATTGTACGTCATTGTAAAAGAAAAAAAAAACTGTAATTGTATTTCTGAACAATGCTTAAAGGGAACCAAAACCTTCGTACTAAGTTACTTTTATTGTAAATTTTAAGATATTTGAAAAATATCAGTGAAAATTTGAACAAAATCGGGCAAGGAATAAGGAAGTTAGAGCTTTTTGAAATGACTAGTCTCTAGAGGGCGGTATTCAATTTGATGACATCATCTGTGGACAACTCTCCATGCCTTTTGTACAACAAATTTCATGTTTTTCCTTCTTTCTTGTGATTGACATAATCTACTCCCCTGAAAGCAAGATAAAGAATGCAAAATGATATTCTACTTCACATGTTATGAAGTCGGATCAAGAACACAAATAAATACGAAGAAAACGAAAAAATTGTGCAATTTTATATACAAAAGGCATGGAGAGTTGTCCACAGATGAAGTCATCAAATTGAATACCGCCTTCTAGTGACTGGTCATTTTATAAAGCTCTAACTTCCTTATTACTTGCCCGATTTTGTTAAAATTTTCACTGATTTTATTCAAGTCTTTTAAACTTTACAATAAAAGTAACTTAGTATGATGGTTTTGGTTCCCTTTAAGAGCGCATGAAACCTAGAGGTGTGCATAAGATGAAATTACTTTTGATATTATATTGCTGTTATTCTCTACTTGTGGAAACAGGTGAGGGTATAATGATACCAACGTTACTAATATTATAGGTTTAACTAGCACTTGAACATCGATGATATCTATAAGCACCTTACAGATTATTATTATCACAGTCATCAGAATCAGGCTGGCCCGTACAAAGTGTATGCACATTTTACATACATGTATACCTGTATATGCTCACAATGCTGAGTAAACTGCAGTGACTTTTGAATCCTACCCGGTAACCATTCAACACCTGGGTGGAGAGAAACAATATAGATAAAATGCCTTGCGTAAGGACATAAGGACATAATTGTTACAATCCCATTCAGTCTTTTTGGCAAGGCATTAATCTGCACATGCCACTCCATACCCAGGAGAGAAAAGGGGACCTGGTAGGATGACAAAAGCCTTTGTGTACATGCTCTCATGGTGACCATATGGTAGGAATACTCCCCAGGGAGTAGAGATGGTGCACATTGTGCTTAATTGAATCCAATGACCTGGGTAATGATATCTGTAAAGCGCTAAGAGACGGTATTACGTACAAAGCTCATGATGACCATATGGTTGGAATACTCCCCAGGGAGTGGAGATGGTGGACATTGTGCATCCAATGAACTGGGTAATGATATCTGTAAAGCGCTAAGAGATGGTATTACGTTTAAAGCTCACGGTGACCATATGGTAGGAATACTCCCCAGGGAGTGGAGATGGTGCACAATGTGCGCGATTAAATCCAATGACTGGGGTAATGATATCCATAAATCACTTAGAGATGGTATTATGTAGAAAGCTCATGGTGACCATATGGTAGGAATACTCCCCAGGGAGTGGAGATGGTGCACAATGTGCGCGATTAAATCCAATGACTGGGGTAATGATATCCATAAATCACTTAGAGATGGTATTATGTAGAAAGCTCATGGTGACCATATGGTAGGAATACTCCCCAGGGAGTGGAGATGGTGCACAATGTGCGCGATTAAATCCAATGACTGGGGTAATGATATCCATAAATCACTTAGAGACGGTATTACGTACGAAGCTCATGGTGACCATATGGTAGGAATACTCCCCAGGGAGTAGAGATGATGCACATTGTGCTTTATTGAATCTAAAGACCGAGGCAATAACATCTGGAAAGCGCTTTGAGACGGTATTAACACATATTCAGCGCTATATAAATCCAGATTATTATTAGACCTCACATGGTTGAGGTACCCTTTAATGAGTTAGTGTTGAGAGTACCATCAAGTGCATAGCTGGAGGTGATAAGTCCCATGTATTATGGATGATGTCCTGTTGCGTGGCTTCTGCGTCTACTGTCTTAAAGCTGACATATCAAGCACGCAGTGAAAGGGATTTCTATGGAGGAATTTGTTAGTCTTAAAGCTGATTTAGCAAGCATCCAGTGAAATTGAATTTCATGGAGGAATCTGCAATTTTTCATAATGTAATGTAACTAAATATATACTTAAGTGCCTTGATAAGATTATTTCATTCACCTTTAACTAATAACTGTTGTTTTGTAGAATGCAAATTGCATGCCATACATGTTGTTAGGTAGGGCAAGGCATACTCTTTAACCCACCTAGCAACATATAATGTAATTTTAACTGACGAGATACGTTTATTCGTAACAGTTGAATGAAATTATTTGTTTTAGGTGCTTCACAAAGCCATAAATGCATACCTTAAATTTTATGAAAATGGCCTATGACAAGCTTAGCATGCAATCATAATACTACATACCATAACTATGGGTTTCAGAATAGGGACTTTTCATATCTACTATAGATATGCTACAACTCTATTAGGATTCACACCTACATGTATGTGGGCATGTTTGTATTCACACTCAAGCTTCACTACTATTCTTTCAGCCCCCCTCCCAAACCTCTACATTGTCATTTCCTCTTTCCCTTCCTCCTCTTTCTCCCCCTTTCTCCATCTTTCTCTCTCTCTCTCTCTCTCTCTCTCTCTCTCCCCCTCTCTCTCTCTCCCCCTCTCTCTCCCTCTCTCTCCCCTCTCTCTCCTCTTTCTCTCTCTCCCCTCTCTCCATCTCTCTCTTTCTTTCTATCTCTCTCTCCCCCTCTCACTCCCTCTCTCCCCCTCTCTCTCCCCTCTCCCTCTCTCCATCTCTCCCCTCTCTCCATCTCTCTCTTTCTTTCTATCTCTCTCTCTCTCTCTCCCTCTCACTCCCTCTCTCCCTCTCACTCCCTCTCTCCCCCTCTCCCTCCCCCTCTCTCCCCTCTCTCCCTCCCCCTCTCTCCCCTCTCTCCCTCTCTCTCCCCTCTCTCTCTCCCCTTCTCTCTCTCTCTCCATCTCTCCCCTCTCTCCCCCTCTCTCTCCCTCTCTCTCTCCCCTCTCTCTCCCCCTCTCTCTATCTCCATCTCTCCCCTCTCTCCATCTCTCCCCCTCTCTCCATCTCTCCCCTCTCACCCCCTCTCTCTCTCTCTCTCCCCTCTCTCTACCTCTCTCTTTCTTTCTATTTCTCTCTCTCTTTCTCACTGTTTGTCTTTTGTCTACATTTTCATGGAAAGGGGATAGGGGAACTATAGAGAAGTACATTTCAGTACACAAGAGGAAGAAAGGCAGAAAAGAGAGAGGGAGAGTGATGGCAGGGGACCATTAAGGGGAAAAGAGGAGAGAGAGAGAGAGAAAGAAGTCAATTTTGGAGATAAGGAAGAGTTAGTGTTGAGAGTATAGCCATGGGTTTTCAAAAGATGCTTTTGAGAACCCCAAAATAGAAGCTACCTGCATTAGAATTCTGTAGAGACTTTAGACTTGAAATCACTTGATGCGTGCGTGTGTGTGCTCTGTGAGTACACTGCAGGAGTGTGTTTGTACACAGATAAGATCCTAACATATATTCTACTTACTAGTTTTTCTTTGATTTCAAATACATAATGTGTCTGGTAAAACCACATTTTTTCCTTCTTTGATGCCTAGTGTAAATAATGTTAAATTCTGATGGCTAACCTAGAACGATAAGTCATATTATGTCAATTCAAATCCTCTGACAGAATAGTATTAACATGGCTCTCTCAATGTAGGGTTCAAGAGGCCATTGATTTGATTTAATTTAAAAGGGCAATTATCCAACCTTGATAGACGGACTAGTCTAGAAGAAAGCAGGACAAAATGAATGAAAGAAACACACAAAAATAAAAAGTTATGGATTTAAACAAAATTGTAATCACTACAGTCTACACATATGGGAACTTTTAATTGGCTGTATCAGTGATATGTCTGTGATGTAGTGCTGGACAACTTCCCATTTGTTCCAACACTCTTTTTTTTTCAAGGAAGATTTATGGGGGTATTTTCTATTTAGAAGACATATAATAATATTTTATCCATGATACATGTACATGTATATCATCGCCTGGGTGGCAGAAGGGTGTTAGCTCTAATTTCAGGTCAAAAATGAAACATTAAGCAGAAGGGCGTTAGCACTATTAAAATCACCACAAACTTTTATAAAACTGACTTATTACTGAGAAAAAAAAATTGTGGCAGTGTTTTACTTTAACATTTCTTTTAAGTTTTAAACCAATTTTCCGGACGGAAAGCAATTAAAATATAAAACAAATTTTTTAAATGCGAATAATTTGAAAAAGTAATTTTCGAGTCGCTCGCACGCTAACGCCCTTCTGCCATCCGACCGACGATATTTTGAGCAGTGCCCCTTGGGAGAAGGCACTTCTGAAGGACACAAAAATCAATATTTTTGTACTTGACATACAGGAGGGTTATGTGTGACTATGTCATAATCCACTCACCAAATTGCCAATTTGATATTCGCGTAGGCTTAGTGATCTCCTATAAAAAGTAAAATACTGTGATAAAATCAATCTTTTAGAGTGTAAATGAATAATTTATATATTACTGTAATGTTCAGTGTAGTTGTGTGAGAATTATAGTTGAGGATATATTTGTTTGTTCTTTCTTTTTTTGGTGCAGGAAATGACGCAGCCTAGAATGTACCAAGAAGCAGGGGAAGCAAGGCCCACTTTATCAAGCAGCGAATTCTTAGAATTATTCAAAGAAATGTCAACAAGACCTGAAATCTACTTCTTACTGGTTAGGTAAGTTACATAGAAGATTGGGGAAGACAGAAATGAAATAAAGAGAGAGAGAGACACACACACACACACACACAGGTAGAGAGAGAGAGACAGATAGAGAGAGAGAGACAGAGAGACAGAGAGAGAGAGAGACAGACAGAGAGACAGACAGAGAGAGAGAGATACAGACAGACAGACAGAGAGTGAGACAGAGAGAGAAAGACGAACAAACAGAGAGAGAAAGAGATACAGACAGACAGACAGACAACAGAGAGAGAGAGAGATACAGACAGACAGACAGAGAGTGAGACAGAGAGTGAGACAGAGTGAGACAGAGAGAGAGAGAGAGAGAGAGAGAGAGACAGAGAGTGAGATACAGACAGACAAACAGACAGAGAGTGAGACAGAGAGAGAGAGGAATGAAAACAGAGGGAGAGGTCTTGAATAAAATACATTATATTCCTTTACTGTTTACCTATAGAATACCAGATTATGCTTTTTGAAGGTTGGTTTTTGGACATTCTATTTTTTCACAAATCATTTATTTAGGTAATTGTTACACTTCAAAGTAATCATAGCTGCCAACTAATCCTATTTTAGAGGAATGATTCCCACTTTTTGTTCTTCCAAGCTATTGTTTTGAACCCTAGATTCCTATTATTTTCTGAAATATTCTGTATGAAAAGTATATAAAATAGACTGTATTCCTCATTTTGACCTGAGAGATTCCTAAATTTTGCTGTGAAAGTTGGCAGGTATGAGTAATTGATATGTTGTATAAATCATTTTGCAGGTATTCACGACCCTGGATACGCAGGGGTTTATGTTATCCTTTATTTTCTTCATACTCCTTATAACCCTTTACCTATTAAGTTTTTTGAGGTAGATTTTATACATTCTCTCTAGACACAAACAATTTGTTTAGGTGAGTGGTATTCATTAAAGTAAATGACTGGTTTACTAACATATTCAAAATAAGTGCATACTATAAAACAAAGGTTGTTATTGACAACCTGAAGTATTGCCCGAGGCTTGCCCGATGTAGCAGCAAGTAATATATGCAGACTGGATTCTGAGTATTGTAGTTAATCATTAATAACTTGTCACTAGGTCCCAGGAAAGAAACATCCTCAAATTTGAATATGTTAGTAAACTGATCTATTTATATGATGTATGTATTTATTTGCAGGTATTCAAGTAGTGAGTTCATGACCTTGGATGACCTCATGATATTCTTAGAAGCAGAACAAGGGGTAAGTTAACCCGTCGACTTTTGAATGATTGTATTCCCATATACTTTACACAGGACCCACTCGGTTCCTGTATCCAATGAGTTAAAGTTCATTTACCTTTACTAGGTAGCTTAGCAAAATGTAGCACTGGCACAGAAAGATGTGTCGGGAACACAAACTGCATAATTGTTTGAAATCATAGTGTTTATCAAAGACCGGTAAAACCAGCTGGTACAGGTGTATAATGCATATTTTATCTTGATGAGGCATATACTGTTAGGTAAACTTTCATTCAGATATGTGTCAAAATAAATATTATTTATGCATCTTGTGTTCTGGACGTGTCTTTTCGTGCTACTACATGTACATTTCACTAAGCTACCCTATTGGGATTATTAGAAATATAAGAATAATGACGATGATGATGATGATATTGATAAAGGCAAAAGCCAATGATGATAAAGACGATAACTGTAATAGTGATGATGATAACAATAATAATGATGATGGTGATGATTATTATCTTGACAATGAAGAATGCAGAAATGATTTATGTTGATGATGGTGATGAAATTATAGATGGGAATCTTTTTTGTGTAAGAATGTCTAAGAGTTAGTTGAAAGAGGATTTTTTCTTGAGTTGTACATTGCTTGGTTTGATAATATCACACTGGCAAACATGTCTAGAAACATTTAAAAACCTGCTGTAATTATGGTCAATTTTAGAGACGGAACACTTTTAATTGTACCTTTAAAAACAGATGAGATTGAATTTAAACCCAGGGCAAGCTTTGTATGTTAAATATTCGGCCAGAAACGCTAGTGTGTCAGTCAACGTTACCGCTGAAAGACTCATCTTTCAAACAGCTGCAAGCCAACCTGATCACCCTCAGGCATTCTACAATCTAACGTATCAACTAGAGAGAAATAAAACCATTACAATCTAAAATATCAACTAGAGAGATAATAAATTCATTAGAATAAACCCATTAGGATCAAACATATATCAACTAGAAAGAAAATATATCCTTTATAATCAACAATAAACCCATTACAATCAAACATATTGACTAGAAAGAAAATGAATCCATTATAATAAAGGATAAACCCATTACAATAGAGCATATCAACTAGAAAGAAAATAAATTCATTATAATAAAGAATAAACGTACATTAGGATCGAACTTATGGACTAGAAATAAAATAAATCATATCAACTAGAAAAATAATAAATCCATTATAATGAAAATAAACCCATTACAATCTGAGAAGCTAATTTATTAGCAAGAGAAAGAAAATACACCCAATATAATTGCTAACATAACTTAAAGTAATAATTCTTTTATGGTCTAAAGCTAACTTGTCAAATACAAATTAAATTTATACATGTAAGTAAATCAACAATTTTAGATTGATGAACCACAGCAACTGTATTTTTTTCCGCCTAGTGTTACATTGCTACAATATTTTGGAATGTTATTTCTTTGCTTTTATCAGAGAGTGTCCTTTATAAAGCTGTTAATTGCTCAGAGCCATCCAGCGCATGTTGCGTTGTTAGGCAAGCACACAACACAGAATGAAGCCAAGATAGCCAATCTATGTGTATGATAGACCATTTTTGTAATGTAATCAACTTTAATGCATAAATCTTTATCAAGTGCCATGTTACCAAATATCCATTTACCTGTTACAAATAATTGTATTTCAAAGCAAATTCCATAATTGTTGCTAGGTAGGACAAACATTATGGCTTGTCCTACCCAGCAACGCAACCATTTGATTAATTCATGAAAATGGCCTATTGGATCTGTTCAAGCTTATGGAAAACTGAAAAATAATTTTGGTTCATGCCTGTTTTCGTCACAAAGCGACTGTTCTATGAATGCTTATTGTTAAACACATGTAATTGTCTATATGATATGAGACCTTGTTCACACTGGAGGGAATGGATACAAAACGTGAATAAATTAAGAAACGTTGTCTAAAGAATTATCATAGCGAAAGTGACGTACACAAACAACATTGTGTGAAGGCGTTGAAGAGGTGTGTTCACATGACAGCTGGCCAATCATAATTACGTGTTAACCCTATTTTAACTGGGCTATTTCAGACCAGGTTTTTACTGGGGGGGGGGGGGTCAATTTGACCCCCCCCCCCTAAGATCTCGGCCGTTTCACCCCCGATCGCCGCGAAAATTTGCATGCATGTCAAGTGAAGTGTATAGAATACTATGGTAATTTCAAATTTTTGAAAAATTCACTCATTTGCATATTTATGGTAATTTATGCAAATAAGGTCATAAAATTCACATTTCGGCCAATAAATCATAGATTATTCATATTTAAGTATTCTTTTTCACTACATATATTTATTAGACCATTTGGAATAATAATACAACTTAAAAATTTGGAAGAGCCAGGTTATTCCTTATGTTATCTCTTGTTTTTATAATTTCTTATGTATTTCATTGTTTTTTTAACTTACCGTATTTGCCGGCGTAAAGGCCGCACCCCCGCATAGGCCGCACCCCCGATTTTGACATTTAAAAAAAAAATAAATAAATAAAAAAAAAAAAAAAAAAAAAAAAAAAAAAAAAAAAAATCGTTTTTTGTTTTGTTTTCTTGTTGTTGTTTTGCTGCCGAAAACCCACGCGTGGAAGGACCTTCATTAAACATCGAGGTGCAGTTAAAGGCGCTGATTTGTGCTTGTAAACTTGTCACAAATAATAGTAACAATGTCGTTTTTAGAAGAATGTGTAAGATCATTAATGTGATTTAAAAACAATAAAGTACCTATGGTACCAGTGGTGTACCTTGTGGTACACCATTTGTTATAGAAAAAAATTTGAGGAACTATTATTATAAACTACATATTGAGATCTATTAGAAAGATTACTTTCAAACCAAGATGACAGTCAAATTTTAGTGTTGTTGTAGTTTCCGAGTGGTGAGTCAACACACTGATTACTGAGCTGGGAGACATTGCCAGGCATAGCGCCATAAATCGAAACTAAAAAAAACAAACTTTTTTTACTCTTTCGCCGCATAGGCCGCACCCCGACTTTTTGATATTTTTTCTTCCAAAAATACTGCGGCCTATACGCCGGCAAATACGGTATGTATTTTATTGTTTTTGTTGTTTTATTTCATTTATAACTACAATTCAACTATTTTGACTCCAAAACAAACATCTAAACTTTAAAGAAGACTGAATAACCAATGTTTTAACTATTTTTGGGAAAAATGACTTTTACATATATGTTTTGTACACAAATCACGAAAATGAGCGATTTTCGGGCTGACATGCAAAGACAAAAGGTCACGCAACCTTGTAACCGTAGGTCCGATTTTCAAAAAAATTGTTTTAAAAGATGCGTAAGACTCGAAAGTAAAAAGTCGTGAGAGGAAAATTTTATATCTGCCGCGGTTTCGAAGTTGTCGCGAAATTTCTACAGGGGGGGTCAAATTGACCCCCCCCCAGTTAATGTAGGGTTAAAGATAACCACTGCCCAGTTATACGATTTTTGTATGATACAACGTTCTTGCTCCAGTTTTCATTCGAAACGATGCTAATTCCTGTATTTGGTTATAAGAATTTGTTTAGACAATGTTTCTTTAGGCAATATTCCGACTAGAAAATGTTAATTACTTATTCTTACAAATGTATATACATTTGGATTTAGATTGGTCATTCCATAAATTAGGGACCCACTCTGTGATATTTTTGGTGTCTCACTTACATTAGGAGCCCACACATATTTGTGGCTCTGAGTAAAGACTCAAATAGTGGAGTGAGATTGCTAAGTGATTTCCAAGCATAATATTGCATCCTCATACCTAGAATCACTTAACAATCATACTCCACTATTTAAGTCTTTACTCAGAGCCACAAGTACGTTTGGGTTCATTATGTAAGTTGGACACCAAAAATGTCACAAAGTGGGTCCCTAATTTATAGAATTACCCATATGTGAGTGTTGTATAGCGATTGACTGAATGCTGGTCTGGAGGCAGGGTGGGAGGATGTGAGGGTTTGTTTGGGTAACCTTGACCATGTATGCAAACAGACACACATGCATGCATAAAATGTGATGTGCTCTGCGACAGGTAGTCTCAGGTGTAATGATTAATGTCTCTCAGAGGTGTGTGATAGTTTAAAACTACAGACCCTTGTCAGTTGTAATGCATAACAGAGGATAGCTTGTAGGCGCAAATCTTGTCAGTCACTGTGCGTTATGAGACCACAAGAGGCACTGTTCTTTGACACAGCCAGAAGCTTGTAGATCTAGGCTCTGCTCAAGTCCTTTAGAAATTGTGGTCAAGCGTCAAATAAGAGGCTTTGCTTTCAGACTAGGCATACATACATAATCTCTGAGCTCAGTGGAGTGACATAGAAAGAGAGAGAAAGAGAGAGAAAGGGAGAGGGAAGAAAGAGAGAGAGAGAGAGAGAGAGAGAGAGAGAGAGAAGAAAGAGAGAGAGAGAGAGAGAGAGAGAGAGAAAGAAAGAGAGAGAGAGAGAGAGAGAGAGAGAGTGTGTGTTAGGAAGGGGGAGAAAGTAAGAGGCTTAGGAAGGGGGAGAGGGGGAGGAGGGAGACAGGATGGGGAGAGGGAATAGAGAGAGGGAGAGAGGCCTAGGAAGGGGAAGAGGGGGTGGAGGGAGACAGGATGGGGAGAGGGAATAGAGAGAGGGAGAGAGGTTTAGGAAGGGGGAGAGGGGGAGGAGGGAGGCAGGATGGGGAGAGGGAATAGAGAGAGGGAGAGAGGCTTAGGAAGGGGGAGAGGGGGAGGAGGGAGACAGGATGGGGAGAGGGAATAGAGAGAGGGAGAGAGGCTTAGGAAGGGGAGAGGGGGTGGCAGGATGGGGAGAGGGAATAGAGAGAGGGAGAGAGGCTTAGGAAGGGGGAGAGGGGGAGGAGGGAGACAGGATGGGGAGAGGGAATAGAGAGAGGGAGAGAGGCTTAGGAAGGGGAGAGGGGGAGGAGGGAGGCAGGATGGGGAGAGGGAATAGAGAGAGGGAGAGAG